ATGGCTGAAATCAAAAACACAAATGACAGTCTATGCTGGAAAGGATGTAAAGATACAGGAACACTCCTCCACTGCTGGTGGGAGTGCCAACTTGTACGGCCACTTTGGAAATCAGTATGGCAAGTCTTTGGAAAATGCAATCAGTCTACCACAAGATTCAGCAATTCCATTCTTAGGCATATACCCAAATGATGCACATTCATACAACAAGGACAACTGTTCAACCATGTTCAAAGCAGCATTATTTTTAATAGCTAGATCCTGGAAGCAACCTAGATGCCCCTTAACTAAAGAATGGTTAAAGAAAATGTGGTACATTTACACAATGGAATACAATTCAGTGAGCAAAAAAAAAAAACAGTGAAATCTTAAAATTCACAGGAAAATGAATGGAACCAGAAGAAACCATCCTGAGTGAGGTACCACAGCAATGGATTTTCACAAAAGACAAAGATGGTATGTGCTCACTCTTATATAGATTTTAGACATAGAACAAAGAAGTACCAGCCTACAATCCACACTGCCATGGAAGCTAGGAAACAAGAAGCTAGGAAACACTAAGGGAGACTTATATGGTCCCCCAGAGAAGGGGAACAGGACAAGATCTCCTGAGTAAATTGGGAGCATGGGGGGAGGGGAGAGGGAACTAGAATAAAGAGAAGGAAAGAGGAGGAGAGGATATTAGAGCAACTTAAAAAAAAACTAAAGTAAAAATTGCAAATTATTATTTGTTTATCTAAGCCTTAAATAAACCAGAAAATATTGTCACCAGGGCCTTTAAATTTTAGATTGTTTTCAGATAAGAAGGACTGGTATAAACATCTTACACACCAGAGAGATTGCTCAGTGGTTAAAATTGTTGTTGAAGCTAATAGAGAGAATTTTACCCCAGGAACTACATGCTGGAAAGAAAAAAACTGACTGCTACAAATGGTACTCTGACCTTTATATGTATGTTTTAGCATGCCCCTCCCACATACAACAAATGAATGAATAAATAAATAAAGCTAATAAAAACATTCCTTACAAAGATGTCTACTGGAGCTTAGTTTCTTGGCATAGATATAATGATTTCTACAATTTGAAAACACAAAGAATTGAACCCAGGGGGTTAGAGTGACATATAAAGCTTAATAGAGGAAATTCTAATTGCTTTTATCTAGTGGCTCATCTCTAAGGACAGGGAGTCTAGAAGGAGCTTCCTTCTACATATTTTATGACAGCTCTTGTAATCTACAGTCTTTGTAAAAAGATTTGTGGGTGGCTTAGAAAGCTGTGAGGAGAACCACAGCAATGGATTTTCATTGTTCATGAGATCTACAAAGAATAAGTGGCTTTCATTGTGATCCCATAAATAAAGAAGAGCCAGATGGTTTTTAATGTGATTTTTCAGCACCAACAACCTGAAACACTATACTTTTCTTCAGAAGCTCACCTGGTTTCCAAGTTGAGAAAAAAAGTGAGTATTTGAGTTTTATGTCTTCTAACACCTCCCATGCACAGAATGTTGGAGGACCCACATTAACTGTGTTCTCAAGACATGATAGGAATTTCATAAATAGCAACTAACAGTATCTCTCATGTTTCAGAGCTAGTACTTCTTACAGGTGTGTTTTGTGGAGAGAGATTTTGATGTTAACACAAAATGTATCTCAAAGGCTACATCATTTTTCTCAAAGATAACATGATAAACACAATCATAATTTTTACTAGTTACACAATACTAAGTGTAAGCTATCTTCAAATATTCCTCAATTATAGTGCATAATTATAATTTATAAACTGTATCACAAAATATACTCCAGTTTGCCAGGTGCTGTTCATCATTTGTTCCTATCGCTTTGCTCATTCTAGATACACCATTTCTTTTAATAAATAACTTTGAATTACTAGTATATTTTAGGATTTTGTGAGTCCATACTGTGTACATGAAAATTATATTAATGTGTATTACCATTTCAGCTTCCAAACACATGAATAAACCTGGAAGATACCATGCTAAGTGAAATAAGGCAATAACGAACGGAAAAATACTAAATGATTCCATGTATATAAGGTAACTCTAATCCACTGAAGCAGAAAGTGCAGTAATGATTCTCCATCAAGGACACATGGGAACCACTACGCTGATGCTGGGAGCAAAGTAGAACAGGAAGCAATAGGATGTTAGAGAATGTGTATGACTCAGACTTCAGAGGAAGTTGGTCACTCAGAGTGGATCAGAACCCAACAGCTGCTGTCAAAGTCACAATGACAGGGCAGGTGGTAACAGAACTATGTGATGTGACCCTGGGGTAACCTTGTAGCTTTGTGAGAGACAAGGATTAGATGACAGTGAGAAGAGCAAAAAAAAAAAAAATGTGGAAGAACATGTTGTAGCTTTGTGAGAGACAAGGATTAGATGACAGTGAGAAGAGCAAAAAACTGTGGAAGAACATGCGTCTGTGCTTGAATTGCTACAAATGGATACTACAGATCAGGTAGTGAATAATTATCAGAAATGTACTTGACTGGAAGACTTGAAGACAGGAATACTCAAAGTCAGAGGCTACATCAGGTGAGGGCCATCTTCTTGTTTAATGCCATGTTGGAACATAAAACACAACTAGCACGCATGTCAGAGAATACAGAAAATTCTGAATTTGTACTTATTTTAAGAACCCACATATGATAACAAACTTATTTCCTAACATCATTATTCTATTAAGCCAATATTGTCATTTAAGGGTCTCAGGACTTGACAATTTTTCATAAGAGATAAAATTCACAACATATGAACTGTGCAGGGCTCATAATATCCACATCCACATGAAGCTTGGAGTCTTTAATTAGCTAAAATAATGAGATAAATTAAAATAAACCAAACATAATAGTTAAATATAAAACTATCCAATCCAAGGTCAGCAACTCTGGATTTATTTTCAGTTAATTATATCAACAGCTAGATGTTCTTAACCTTTTCTAGTAAAATATAGCACTGCCCCATAATGGGACAATTGTCCTTTATAGAAGGTAGCCAAATGGAGAGTTACCCAATTATTTATTGAAAAGTTTACTATTCTCTAACCCCATAAGTAATGTATGGTGATCCCACATTCTTTCTATTTTGGGGGGGAAGGGTCAGGCAAGTCTCATATTTTAATTTATTAAAGTTTCCAAATAAGAGAGATTAAAAATGAAACTATTGCCTGATATACCTGGAGAAAGTTAGTGTTGCAGACATAGGTCTTCCTTTCTAGTATGCCCAGGATATTTTAGAAAACTTAAAGCACCCAACAACAACCAGAAAAAAGAAACACTGGCTTCCAGGTCCACACATAAACATATTCTGTCAAAACTCCCTGGACGGTGTGTGAGTTTGACCATTTTGGATCCAATACCTCATGTTTATAGTGAAGAACATAAAAACCCTGAAAAAAGTGACTTGTTCAGGTCTCCTCGGGGTTGAGGAAGAGAAGTGAGGAGAAAGGAAAGAACAGGGAATATGAAAATTGTGTTTTGTGTTCAGGGATCTAAACATTTTCTTTATGAACTCTTCACTTACTTTATTTCCTTAAAAATTATTTTAGTTTACTTATTTGTAGTGTTTACAATCAAGTACTGGTCCTTTAATATGGTAAGCAAATACTCTACCACTGAGCTACATCCTTGGTCTTGTCTTGATTTTATTACTTTCTTTGTTTTTTAAATTATAATATAATCACATTTCTCTTTTATCTTTCCTCCCAATAGAACCTCTCATACTATCTTTAGAATTCATAGCCTCCATTTTAATTGTTGTATATACATATACCTATATATTCCTAAATATAACCTGCTTGGTCATGTTGGTACTCACATTTGTGTTTTCATGAATAGCCATGTTTTCTTTTTTAAAAGCTTTTGAGTTCACATAGAGCTGTCACCATATTCCTAGATACAGGACCATTTACTGGCATACAGACAACCTCTCAGGGGCTGTATCACTTTTTTAAAAAATAACCTTTCACAAGCAGCAGTAAATTGTCAATAGCCCCTCACCTAGGAGTGAGAGTTCCTAACCAACTCCCACCTCCATGCTTGGATTTGCTCTGGGTTGATTATATACAGGCCCTGTGCATGCTGTCACAACCACTGTGAATTTACATGTGCACTGTCCTGTTGTATATAAAAACACTTTCACTGTGCTCATCCACTACCTCTAACTAATAGTCTTTTGGGTCCCATTTCCACAGTGATCCTTGAGCATTTGAAGGAAGGGTATAATTTAGACATTCCATTAGGCATAGTCATGCTACAGTCTGTCATTCTCTATTTATTATTCAGTTGTGGATCACCGGGTAAATTGCTATCCACTGCAAAAAGAAGCCTGTCTAATAAGGATTAAAAGATGAACAAATGTAGGTACAAGGTTAAGTCATTATATGAGTCAATTTAATACTACGTCTATTTAACAGAACAATAGTAGCAGATTATCCCTTAAGGACTATGACCTGTCTGGCCACAGATTTTTGGCCCCTATATTGGTGCTGGTCATGGTTTCTGTCTTGCAGAGCAGTCAGTCCTTAAATCCAATCCACCATTCTCATGATATTTGTGCCACTATTATACCAATGAGCATATCTTGTCAGTCTGTGGTGATTCCCTGCAGGATTTACAGCAGGCAGGGGAAAAAAAAAGAAAGAAAAAATGATCCATGAAAAGACAAGAATGAAACTTGGCTCTGCCAGATTTTATTGTAACTGGTACTGGTCCAAGGCTTCTAGATTGCCCAGATCATTTTATTTAGTTGTATTTAAGCACAGCACAATTTTGGGGGTAGGGGAGGAAGATTCAGATATTAACTCGGTCCCAAATGTGCAACAATTTAGAACATGTTTACACTGACATTTCTTACAAAGTACATCTGACTTCTTTCACAAGAATGGGTACTGTTGACTCAGAGATAGTACCCAAGATTTAGGTCTAGGAAGCTTGACTAGGATAAACATAATGCCTGTGGTTTAGGGATCAGCCTGGCTCTAAAACATGGAAGTCACTTAGGCTGTTGTAAAGCACAAGTGACCTCATAACAGTGGATTTTACAATCTAAAGCAATGCCTGAGATTAGAAGAAAGGTCATGGATAAGTAAAGACTCAAATTCTGGAAGATACAAGCAGAGCCTGTCTCACCAGACAGCAAAGAATCACCAGGTTGTGAAACTGCATCATTCCAGGCACTCCAGAAAGAGCAGTTCCGTACCTCAGTCCATTGAAGAGATAAGCTGTGGGTTTAACTTTCCTGGCTTCTTTGCACAAGGCCTTTTTGCTCTCTACACCAGGCCAATCATTGCTGTCGCTTGCTGGGTTCACAGCTGAGTAAGACTGGTGATTATTCTTCACCTCCAGAAACTTCCACAGAACTTTCTACAACTATGAAAGCTAAATAGTAAGGACAAATCTTCCAGGCCAGTACTTGCTGCTTTCCATTACATGGGGGCTCCACTTAAGTTTCTCTTACATATGTATATGGGCACATTTTAGAAGGCTTCTGTAGTAATAGATTTCCATATGACTTTTTAAACGGTCTTTACTCCTGGCCATTCATTCCTCCTCATGTCCCCTTCTCTAGCCTGCTCTCCCATTACTACCCCACTTAATCCTTCTTGTTCATTATTACCCATTTCCTCTTTGTACCACCAGTGCTTTTGTGTTTGTTTTTGTGTTGTTGTTGTTGTTTTACTGGCTATTGGGAATATAACTGCAATGAAAAGAGATGAGTAAATATTTCTGTAGTAGAATATACAGTCATTTGGGAATATGTCTCAAAATTGGATCATGGGGAAGATCTAGTTGTAGGTTTTTTAGAAACTTTACTATAAAGAAATCTTGGAAATAAAAAATAGAAAACACCAAAATTATCCAGATTCAAAGAATATACATTTAGTGAACATATATACAATTAGAGCTGGTATTCAAAATGGAAACTGTGAAGCTTTGCATTCAATTTCGGCATTTACCCACCACCAAAACCCAAAGATCCATGAAAAAGTAAGAAAACATTTAGCTTTATATATATGAACCCAGGAGAATGTCTAGCTTGTTAAGGAATATCTACGGTGATTTCCATAGTGGCTGTACTCCAAGCCTCAGGGAATAAATCTTTCCCTTTCTCTGTATCTATGCCAACATTTGTTTGATTTTTTGCTTGTTGATTTATTGCTTTGTTTGTTTTGATCTTAGCCAATTTGATGGAGTAAAATGAAATCTCAAAGTAGTTTTAATTTGTATTTACCTCATGGAGAATGAGGGTTTTTAAAATTAAATATTTCTTGGACATTGGCATTCCCTTTTGAGAATTCTCTGTTTAGTTCTGGGCCCTAATTTTTAATTGGACTCTTTGTTAGCGATTAATAGTAATTCATATGCTTCAGGTACATGCTAGTAATCTGTTTCTTTCCAGTACTAGAATCACTGCTCAACCATCTGGCCATTTCTAGTTGGATTATTTATTATTAGGGTGTAATATGTTGTGGTATCTACTGACAGTTTTTCCTGAGGCATAGTACTTTAAAATACATTTTCCAGTCTGGGTACTGTCTTCTCAAATTATAGATGGTGTCTTTAAAAACATAATTTCAATTTTCATCTAATATAATCTAACTTACTTTTTTCTATCATAGTTTCTGCTTATAGCATTTTTATTCAAGTAACCATCAGTAGTTCAGCAGTTCCATGTGCACAAAGATCTAGTCTTGTATTTTTGCACAGTGTTACTTTCAGCTCTTACATTTAGAGATAAGGCCTATTTTTTATACTTATTTTTGCACATAGTTTGAGAGAGAAATATTTGCATATTAATGTTTTCATGTGCCCATTTGTTAAACATCCCTTCTGCACTGAATTATTTTGAAATATTTAAAATTCTTTAATTATTAATGCATGTAATTTTTCTTGATTGCCAATTTCTTTTACTTTTTCTGTTCTCCTGTGTTATGAATGTTCTGAAACATTGTAGTAAGTTTTCAAATGAAAAAACTCAATCCTTCCCATTTGACCAGGTGTGGTAACATGCCTTAGATTACAGAGGCAAAGGCAGGTGGATCACTTAATTTGAGATGCCAGCCTCATCGACATAGTTAGTTCCAGGTCAGCAAGGGCCAAATAATTAGATCCTGTCTCAAAAAAGAGTCCTTCAATTTTATTTATCTTGTTAATGTTTCTTCTCATTATTCCATGTCCCTCATACATTTGAAGGGATTTTATGATCATTTAATGTCAGAAAAGAACTTGAGATTTTTATAAGGATTAATCTGATCTTGTACATCATTTTAGGAAATATTGCTATTTTCACAACATTGACTGTTCTGATTCATGAGCATGGGTTGTCCTTGTATGTACTTTCATTTACGAAAAGCTTTGTTTTTACAACCATGCTTATATCTGTAAGTGAAATAATTTTTATTTCTTTTATGTAATTTATTCCTGTGTTTTATTGATAACCATGAATTAATTCCAATAATTCTTTCTCAGAAATTTTTAAATTTTGTATATAATATCAACTCATTTACATGTAATGGTGATTTTATTACTTACTGGCCATCCAATTAAGATTACTTTTTTTATTTTCTTGCCTTGTTGCCATAAATTGACCCTCTATTATGTTGTAAAATTGTAAATATGTGTGTATAGTGTACAAGTTATATTGTTTACTACTTATGGAAAGTCTTTCAGCCATTACATGACATTACATGAATAATTGAGTGTGTGTGTGTGTGTGTGTGTGTGTGTGTGTGTGTGTGTGTGTGTGTGTGTGTTTGGGTGATACTATGATTGTAACATAAGAGAACACTTTTTCTGTACATAGATTGGGAGAATTACAAATTAAGCTTGAAAAATTCTTAGAAAACTCCATTAAAATCATTGGATCTCTGTTTGGTTGTTGGTGGAATGAGTACTAATGTATTCTCAAAATGTTGATCATGAATAGTGATAGGTATATTTTCTATTTACCTACTTCCAAGTATTGTATTTTTGAAGGTGGAATGCACAGACTAATAGCCATCAAACTTGGAGACACATGACTGAAATTGCTCGAACTCAGTTTTTCATCTCATTATGTGAGAGGACAGAAATTACCTATCCTAACCTTTTTTTCTTTCCTCCAGAGAATTCCCAGTGGAAATGATAGCCAGAAACAACTCCACAGTAACTGAGTTCATTCTTGCCGGATTAACAGATGCACCAGAACTGCAGCTGTCCCTTTTCTTGCTCTTCCTCGGGATCTATGCAGTAACGATGGTGGGGAACCTGGGTATGATCACGCTCATCCTGCTGAGTTCCCACCTGCACACCCCTATGTACTTCTTCCTCAGCAGTCTGTCCTTCATTGACCTCTGCCATTCCACTGTCATTACCCCCAAAATGCTGGTGAACTTTGTGACAGAGAAGAATATCATCTCCTATCCTGAATGTATGGCTCAACTCTATTTTTTTCTGGTTTTTGTTATATCAGAGTGTCACATGTTGGCAGCAATGTCATATGACCGTTATGTGGCCATCTGTAACCCATTGCTTTACAATGCTGTGATGTCATATCAAGTTTGTTCCTGGATGATATTTGGGGTGTATAGCATGGGTTTGATTGGTGCCACAGCTCACACAGTCTGCATGCTAAGAGTGCATTTCTGTAAGGCTGATGTAATAAACCATTACTTCTGTGATCTTTTTCCATTACTGGAGCTGTCTTGCTCCAGCACTTTTATCAATGAAGTAGTAGTATTGTGTTTTAGTGCTTTTAATATCCTTTTCCCTACACTGAGTATCCTGAGCTCTTACATTTTCATCATTGCCAGCATCCTCCGGATTAAATCTACTGAAGGCAGGTCCAAAGCCTTCAGCACTTGCAGCTCACACATAGCAGCTGTTGCTGTCTTCTTTGGGTCTGCTGCATTTTATGTACCTGCAGCCATCATCAGTCAGCTCCATGGACCAAGGGAAAGTGTCCTCTGTGTTTTATACTATTGTAGTTCCCATGCTGAATCCTGTGATCTACAGCCTGAGAAATAAGGATGTCAAACTTGCTCTAAAGAAGTTGTATGAAAAAAGTTTCTCATAAAATTTTTATTTAATTAACTTATTTTCCTTCATTTTACATACAGACCACAGTTTCCCCTCCCTCCTCTCCTCCAGTTGCCTCTGCCTCCCCGACTCCCATCTATCCTCCTCCATCTGCCACTCCTCTGTCTCCATTCAAAGCACATGTCTCCCATGTGCTTGAATATAACATGGGATTTTTCTTTCTCAAACTGTGGATTTTTTCCGTCTATTTCTAGGATAGCTTCTTGATTCTTTTTTAATTTATTTGTATTTAAATTAGAAACAAGCTTGCTTCAATGTAAATTCCAGCTCCCTCTCCATCCCCTCCTCCCCCGCTCCCACCACTCCCCCACCCCATCCGCCCTCTGCTACACAGGGAGGGAGAGTGAGGCCCTTCCATGGGGGATTGAAAATTCTGTCATCATCCAAGGCAGGTCCCAGGCCCTCCCTCATGTGTCTAGGCTGAGAGAGCATCCCTCCATGTAGAATGGGCTCCCAAAGTCCATTCAAACAACAGGGATAAATACCGGTCTACTATCAGAGGTCCCATAGATTTCCAAGGCCTCCCCACTGACACCAACATTCAGGGGGTCTGGATCAGTCTATGCTGGCCTCCCAGCCAGTAGTCTGGGGTCGATGAGTTCCCCCATGTTCAGGTCATTTGTTTCTGTGGGTTTCTCCAGCCTGGTCTTGACCCCCTTGCTCTTTACTCCTCCCTCTTTGCAACTGGATTCCAGGAGTGAAGTTCAGTGTTTAGCTGTGGGTGTCTGCCTCTGCTTCCATCAGCTACTGGATTAAAGCTCTAGGGTGGCATACAAAGTAGTCATCAGTCTCATTATTGGGAAAGGGTGTTCAAGGAAGCCTCTTTACTATTGTCCAAATTGCCAGTATGTGTCATCCTTGTAGATCTCTGGAATTCTCCCTAGTGCCAGATCTCTCCTCAAATCCATAATGGCTCCCTCTATTATGATATCTCTCATTTATCTCTCCTCTATTCTTCACCCAACTCAACCTTCCTGCTCCTCCATTTCCTCCTCTCCCTCCACTTCTCCCCTACTATTTCTCCCAGTTCTCTCTCCATCCCCCCCATGTTCCCAATTTGCTCAGGAGATCCTGTCCCCTTCCTCTTATTGTAAGCCAGTTATTTACTTATTTTGTGTCCTATTTTAGGTGACAAGCCATGGTTACTTTCTTTCTGATTTCTTTGTGTTTTCAATTCTGGAAACAAGCTGTGTTAAGAAAACAAGCATATGTGTATATGCTTGCATTTTTAGGAACCTTCTGTAGTAGAAGTTTTTCAAATGATTCTGTTCAGAAAATCTTTGGTGTTCTCTCCCCATATTCCCTCCTGTACCCTGTGCTCCTATCTCCCAGCCCATTTAAACAGTTCTGTTCCATTACTCTGCTTTCTTCATTTATATCATCATCAAATTCTTTCTTCCTTGCCCTAAAAGCTTCCTCCTCCTATCATGCCTGCCTCTAAAACTCACAATTCTAGAACCACCTTTCTAATTCGTGCAGATATGGACAGTTAAGGACACTAATTGGGTATTGTGTAGAGTGTCACTGTACATCAGGCAGTTGTATTTAACCATACATTTTGAGTGAGGATATATGTTTATTTTCTTTCTGCTAGAAAAAAGCCACAGAAACAATGTACAGTCCTCACAATGTCATATCAAAAGGCATCATGTGCAACCCACTCTTAAGGAATGAGAGATTGTGCTCCACTTACCTAAAAGAACAGCTCTTAATTTATTTTCTTGGAACTCTTGAATATTATAATTTGTCTCTTAACTCTATTTACTTGTTTGATCACTTATTTAAATCACTGTGGACTCACAGATATTAATTTCTATTTTCATTTATATTCTACTTTAAATAGCTGCATTTATATGTTTTATTATTTTGCTTAACTTGTTTCAGATGTGGGGATGTCTCTTTCATATACTCCCAGAAATCTAACTCCTAGAAATCTACATTGTTGTCTAGTGCTAAACATTCTCTAATTTCCTTTCCCAAAAGTAGTATTAACCATTTCTCCTATTCATTGAATAACAGTATTATAAACATGGTACACACATGGAAACTGGGTGTGCTCATAGCTACTTTGTTGTCATTGATTCTAATTCTCTAAACACACTAGTATAAGTACAAGTAGTCATGTGTTTATACTAAGCCCTTCTAGAGATACATATATAATTACCTAACCACAGTGAACATATATGTGTGTATTGTAAGCTAAAAGTCATTAACATAATGCATTTTACTCCACATTATTTCCAAATGTTTTAGGTTGGAAGTTCCCATGGCTTGTCTGTAACTTCCACATAAAATAAAAAGGAGCTACCATTGTCCCTTTCCTTTAATTTTACTGATCCATTCCTCCTCTTTGTTTATAAAGGTCCCAGAATCTTCTACCTATAACCTTATGAAAACTCATTCCATTAAAAAATATATTAAATTAATCAGTTGCAATATTTATTTTGTCCATATTCCTGCAATCTCTACTCATTGCCAAAATTCCTAAGGTCACCATGCTCATCTCCATCCAACCCCTTCTGTGAAACTATGTATTGCCCCTGAAATAATAATGGAACATATAAGAAACGACTATTGATATGACTACAAATTATTATTGTTTACCCAAACATAATTAAATATATGACAAAAGCAGTGAAAAATGTCCTCATCTATTTTTGAGACTATTTTCAAATGTTATAGGAGGCACCCTATAACAATGTTATTAGACCTCAGTTTCTAGCCCCAAATGCAATGATTGATACTATTTTCAAACACAGAAAATTATACTCAAGGGAGGCAAAAAGAAAATATCAACCAAAGCATCATACAGGAAATCTTAATTGATTTTTTCCTGAGTATCTCATTCCCAGTGGAAAGAAATCCTTGAGGAGTTTCCTTCTACAAACTTTTATAACAACTTTTATGTATCAAATGCCTGTGAAAATAGTATCATTTTGGTAAGTGCCTTAGGAAGATATGAGGGACTCATGACATTGGTTTATAATGGGAACATAAACTACTCAGAACATAGGATTTATGTTTTGAGGCCACAAATAAAAACCAGCCAGACTTTATTTTTAGTCACTCACATCAATGATATGAAGAGGTGCTTCATTTTAGAAAACTTGATGTAGAACTCATGTTACTGGAATGAAAGTCTCCAAGTTGAAAGGTGAGCAACTAACATTCATTTGTCCTGTAATCTCACAACCTCAAAATGTTAGACAGCAACCATGAACTCTACTTTTCAGACATTACAGAAATTTTCAAATGCTAGCCAAAAATATCACTCATTTTTTGGAACCAAGCTTTCTCCCAAGCAATTTTCATGCATGAGTTGAATTTTGTTTTTACCCACTGTATTTCAGTGGCTATAGCCATTTCCTCTTAGATGATCCCAGAAACTCTCATTTTTATTACAAGTCATATAGATAAGTTACTTTCAAAACTTCTTCAGTTTTTACAAATAATGCCAGTGTATAAACCCTGACGTAAACTATAACAATTATAGTAAATAATTTGCCAGTGTCAACTCATGAGTTTCTATTACTTTCCTCATTTATTCTATCTTTTAATAAATCATTTGAAAAATTTAGTATGTTTTGATGTTTGTAAATCTAAAATTAATATTGTATTAATATACATTTATTGATATTTCCTCATCCTCCCAAACATACATTTTTCTTGAAAATCCTTCTTTGGCCCCATACTAGACTAAACACCATAACAGCTGTCTGTATTCCTGTAGCCCTGTTCATTCATTATATGCATTCTATAAACTACCTTTCCCTCTCCTTATAGATTATAACATTTTATAACTATAAAATGTTTCCTGCTTATTGTTATGAAAATTTTATGACACCATTCACAGTCAAACAATATTGCTTGATCATTATGATTATAGATGTATTTATTACAATTTTCTGCAAATTTTGTAATCAATTATGTATGGTATGTAAATTTGTAATAGATATTTTCATGACAATTAAAATGTAAGATATTGGGTAATAATTATTCAAGATTACTCAATTTCTGAATAGCCTTACATATTCCCTATTTATATAACTATGGATTATTATTTCTCATTTTCATATATGAAGCATAATTATCATTTATACAAGATAAATTTTACAGGTTTAGCAAAAATGATCAAGATAACTTATGGACCATGTAATGTAGAAGGAGAACAAATATGAACAAAGACAACGAAGTACATATTTTTAGATGCAGTGACTAAACAATTTTGTATGCTAACATAAAAATTAATTTTTATAATGTTTCAAATAATAATCATAAAACCAAAGTTCTAAGTTCACTTTACCAGGCTCACAATGGTTCTAAGCCATGACTATATTCCTTTTAGTTTAGAAAACTTTTGGTGAACCTGGAAGATACTATGTTAAATGAAATGTCAGTCACAAAAAAGATTATTAAGTGTTTCTATTTATATTTGGTAACTATAATGGTCAAAACCATAGAAATAGATAATATGATAATGATTGCAAGAGAACAGAAGCTGAGAGAGAAAATGTGGACTTGTTCAGTGGGTATAAATCCTTAGTAATGACAGATGAATTGGGCTATAAATTACTGTTTATAATATAGTATCTATATTTAACACACGGAATTGTGTATTCAAAGCTTAAGGAAAAAATTCCTATTACATTTAGGTATTCTGCTTATAGCACATACATCTCTAAAATTAATAAAAAAGGAGGCTGATATATGTTACACACACACACACACACACACACACACACACACACACACACATATATATATATGAGGCCACAACTTGCTGGGGGACTTAGAAGGAGGAATGAGGAGGAAATAATGTAGATATATTATAATCTCAATAAGCTAAAGAAATGATTTCAAAAAATAAATACACTTAGTTTTAAAAATAGATCCTGAAACAACTGATATAGGAGATCTCTTTTAGTTCCTTCTAAAGTTACTGGACTGGCTTCCCTCAAAGCTCTGTGTTCTCTCAATGCAGATATAGAGAGTTGAGGTGGTCCAAGTTTTTGTTGCCCTGAAAAACATGAGTTGCAGATGCTGTACACTTGAGTGTAGTGATAGATTTTTTATACTCTAATAAAGCTTGCCTAGAGACCTGAATGCAAAGCTAGCCACAGACATAGAAGCTGGACAGTAGTGGCACAAACCTTTAATCCCAGGAATCAACAGACAGAGGCAGCTGGATCTCTGTGAGTTCAAGGCCATCCAGTGCTACATGAGAGTGACTCAGTCTAAAATTGAAACAGATCTCACACCTTTAATCCCAGCACAATATTGACAATATTAATCAATTGACCTATTACTATTGTCTTTCAAAGTTCCTACACCTCAACAATTTTAATTGATGATTAAATTTCCAATTTTCTGGAGTATGGCCTAATGATACCCTAGATTTCCTCAGTATTTGCTGTTTTTCCCCCTTTTTGTTTCTGATTTTGTTGGTCTGGATATTCTGTCTCTGTCATTTCATTAGTTTGGATAAGGGTTTGTCTATCTTGCTGATTTTCTCAAAGAACCAACTCTTTGTTTCATTGATTCTTTGTATTGTTCTCATTTTTTATTGATTTCAGCCTTCATGTTGGTTATTTCCTGTCTTCTACTCCTCTCAGGTGTGTTTGTTTTTTTGTTTTAGATCTTTCAGGTGTGCTGTTATGTCACTGGTATGAGATTGTTCCAAATTCTTTATGTAGGCACTTAGTGCCATGAACCTTCCTATTAGGACCACTTTCATTGTGTCACATAAATTTGGGTATGTGTGCATTCATTTTCATTGAACTCTAGGAAATCTTTAGTTTCCTTACTTCTTCTTTGCCCCAGTGGTTATTTAGTAGAGTTGTTGAATTTTCATGACTTTGTAGGCTTTTTGTAGTTTCTGTTGTTGAAATCCAGGTTTAATCCATGGTGGAAATTTCCAATACCTGAAATTTGGGAGTCATGGAACAATTATATTAACATTGAAGCTCATTATCTTTTCTTTTACTTCTTTCATTTGTTGAGATTATATCAATTTCTAATTTTTATAACATCTTATAATTATAATACATTTATATGTCATAATTGTGTATTTTTATACTTATAATACATATATATTTCATAATTATATATTTTATACTTATAAAAATTTTATAATTATATTATACTATAATATAATTATACCAATTGGTGTGTTCTTCCCTGGAGAAAACAAGTTCCCCCACTCTCAGCATTCCCATAGTAATTCTTTGCATAGTGTCAAAGGCTCATGGGCTTTCCTCCATCCACATTAGCATGTATGTTGTTGTTTTCCTTGTTCAGCTCATGTTTAGGCAGTCATCCTTATCTTTAACAGAGATAAAACTAGGAGACTTGTTAAAATAAACAAAACAGTTTTCATAGAAACTAGTATACTATCACTTCTGAGTTTGATTTTTAAGTTAACAAACACAGTCTCTAGATATTCTTAAGCTTTTATAGAAAAGTTCAGAATTGATCCATGATGAGGATGATTTTTCTCTGTAGGAGGTAGCCAGTAGGAGAGTTAGAAGGAAACAAGTATGGGCAATATGACCTTCCATCTAGCATTGCTACTCCAGACATTTTGCTTGACTTTTTGTGTCAGTGTGTTTTTAATTTGTGTAGATGTGTCTCAAGTACCGAAATTCCTTGGCTTGGCAATAACTCTATGGTTTACATTTGGAAGGGTTCTATAACTGGTTTCTGAAACTTCTGTGCCTTTATAACCTCACTGATAATCTGAGGTTGTGATTCCTTTCATCCTTATATGCACTTACCATTTTATCTTATCCCCTCCAATCAATGGGAAATTTTGACTCTCTATAGTTTTTATTAAAATGTCCCTAATAATTATTCTTGGTACACATATTTTAGGTGTTTATTGGGGACTCGTCTATCTCCACTAAAAGGATCATTGTTCAAATCATCTGCCTTTGTATGACTGGATTACTTATTCTCTTAGCATTCAGATATAAAAGTCTTTTTGCTATCAATATTTCTCCCTAAGATGAAGTGTGTTGCCCATTTAGTGTGCTATTTTTCATCTATCTATGATGTCCTTTAAGGCACAAATTATTTTTATGTCCAATTATTTATTTATTTATTTACTTACTTACTTACTTATTGCTGTACCTTTAATTGGGACATCTTATCCAAGAAACTGTCACCAATTTCGTGGGCATGAATTCTAGTGTATTTTTTCATATTTGTTATTTTTAGATAAGATACTTATATATAAGCATCCATTTTCATCAACTTTTTAATAATATGAATAGTTACATTTTAATTGCCCATGTATTAGAAACTCATTGTTTCTATACTGAATTATTATTAAACATGTAACTATAATAATTTGCAGAAATTTTTTGCAAATTGCCAATTTCTTTTTATTTCATGCTATATCTGTATGATGAGCATATTATAAGGTTGCAGTATATTTTTAATTGAGGCAGCTTGATACTTCCAACTTTATTCTCCTCCTTCAAGTTTGTTCTGATTATTCCCAGACATTTATAATTTGTGGAGAACTTATGATCAGCATGTCATTATTGGTAATAAAATATGTTGGATTTTTAATAGGATTACATTGAACTTTTAGACTAGTTTGGGAAGTATAGCCATTTCACAATGTTAAATCTTGTGATTCATGGAAATGGGATGTCTCTTCATGCATGTAATGATTTATCCCTTTGCCAATGCTGATAATTCCAAGTACAATGCCTTACATGTCTTTATTTTATTCTTAAATGATTTAACATTTTCATGATATTTTAAATGGATTTTTATGACTGCTGAATTTTCTTGATGATCTTGGGTCTCACTTGCATGATGACATTTCAAATAAACTACAGGGCTTCTTTAATTTCATTAGATTTCTTGGAATTTTATGTATACAAATTAATTCATATATATGTAAAGGTAGTTTTATTATTGACTTTCAAATTCAGATACTTTTTATTTTGTGTTCTTACCTAGCTGCCTTAACTTTAACTTCTAGTATAATGTTAGTTAAACACAGAGTTCAGCTTAAACTGCCCATTACCTTATGAAAAAAGCCTTTTGATTACCACCATTAAGTACAGGATGGGTTGTGTATGTGCCTAAGTGGTCTTTTGTCTTTGTGTGGATGCTTCTCTTATTGTAACAAAAAAATGTTTTGCTCTGTAGAGCAATTGGGAGAACTACAAATAAGTCATGGAAAGTCCCTAGCAGACTCTGCTGAATGCATCAGATCTCTCCTTGGTTGTCCATGGACTGAGTACTAGCATTTTCATAGCAGAAGTCACAAACAGGGGCAGATGTATCTTACTTTTAATTACAAGTGCCATGTGTTGGCAAAGCTAAAGTCTTAGAGAGCTAACATATAAGAGTAGCTGTCATAAAATTGAAGATGCCTGGCATAATGAAGGCTTGAAATTCTGTTTCACCCCTCATTATGTAATAAATTTATACCTATCTCAATTTTTCCCAACTCTTTCTACATAGGACTTCCAGAAGAAAATGTTACAAGGAAATATTTCCAGAGTGACTGAATTCATTCTTGCTGGGTTAACAGAAAAACCAGAGTTCCAGCTGCCCCTCTTCGTCCTCTTTTTAGGAATCTATGTGGTCACAGTTGTGGGAAATCTGGGTATGATCACCCTGATACAATTCAGTTCTCACTTACACACGCCCATGTATGTCTTCCTCAGCAGTCTGTCCTTCATTGACTTCTGCCATTCCACTGTCATTACCCCCAAAATGCTGGTGAACTTTGTGACACAGAAGAACATCATCTCCTATCCTGAATGCATGACTCAGCTCTACTGTTTCCTTGTTTTTGGTATTGCAGAGTGTCACATGTTGGCAGCAATGGCATATGACCGTTATGTTGCCATCTGTAACCCATTGCTTTACAATGCTATGATGTCCTACCAAGTCTGTTTCTGGATGATATTTGGGGTATATTGTATGGCTTTTATTGGTGCCACAACTCACACAGTCTGCATGCTAAGAGTACATTTCTGTAAATTGGATGTAATAAACCATTACTTCTGTGATCTTTTTCCACTATTGGAGCTCTCTTGTTCTGACACTTTTATTAATGAAGTAGTAGTTCTGTGTTTCAGTGTTTTTAACATCTTTGTTCCAACTCTGACTATCCTAAGCTCTTACATCTTTATCATTGCTAGCATCCTTCAGATTAAATCCACTGAAGGCAGGTCCAAAGCCTTTGGCACCTGCAGTTCACACATATCAGCTGTTGCTATCTTCTTTGGTTCCCTTGCATTCATGTACCTACAACCATCGTCAGTCAACTCCATGGACCAAGGGAAAGTGTCTTCTGTATTTTATACAATTGTTGTACCTATGATGAACCCCTTGATCTACAGTGTGAGGAATAAAGATGTCAAAGTTGCTCTAAATAAGTTCCTTGAAAGAAAATGTTTCTTATGAAAAGACTAATTTTTCTTTACTAGAATTCATGTTTGTAGGGTTGTCAAAGACTCCCATATGGACACATGTTGTGAGATTATGCTAGCACTGTTTATTTTTAAGGTTGCACAAAGGGAAGGACTGGTTTTCACCAATAGGACATACAAAAGACATTATCTGTCTGCAATAGAGAAAAACAATCTGTTCATCATAACATGTATCTCACTAAGCAGTTTATCAAACCTTTTAAAGCCTTCTTGTGTATGATTATGTTTTGTGTATGTTATAACAATTCCCTTTTGTGCAAGGCATATTTATCTTATAGCAGGTAATAAATATATTTGGTCAACATCCTTGATCATGTCAACAATCTATGTAATTGACCTTTTTCAATGGAGTATATTTCTAAAGATTTCAGATAAACAAATAATTTTATCAAAAATAAAATATGCAATATATAAGGTCCTGTTCACTCATGTCCTCCTTAACCTCTTCTTCTCCCCTTCTCCTAGTTCCCTCTCCCCTCCACCCATGCTCCCAATTTGATCAGATCTTTGTCCCTTTCACCTTCTCTGGGGTACCATCTATGTCTCTCATAGAGTCCTCCTTGTTTCCTTCAATGGCTGTGTGGATTGTAGGCTGGTAACCCTTTGCTCTATGTCTAAAATCCATATATAAGTATACACCATTTTTGTCTTTTTGCTCAGAATGGTTTCTTCTAGTTCCATCCATTTGCCTGCCAGTTTCAAGATAATGAAATTGATGACTGACTTATATACTGTCCTATAGCTCTTCGCCAAACTACTGCCTATCCTCAGTGTGGCTGGAAAACGCTGAGAGTTTAATATTTTCCTATACTCCTTGATACTGAGTTTCATATCTTCAGTGTGAGATGGAGAATGAATGCCTCCTAATGAATATTGAAGACCCTGCTTCTATCTTTTATATCCAGCTAGTGCTGGGATTAAAGGCATGTGCTTTGTTACTTTTTTAGACAGATTCAATTCCATGTATCGCTGGGTGGCCTTGAACTCAGAGAGATCTGTCTACCTTTTAATCCTGAGTCCTAGGATTAAAGGTGTGTACCACTACTTCCTAGCTTCTGGCTATTGGGATTAAAGATGTGTACCTGGCTTCTTTGGCTTGAGGCTGACTTTGCTTTCTGAATCTTCAGGCAAGTTCTAATAATTCGTAAATAATATATCACCACAAGAATATGTTTTTAATATTTGTAGGCATGTCTAAAGCACATAATTGGCAATGGAAGATTCAAAAAATGCATTGTTTTAATATTGCACACACATGGAATATTCATTCTTATTTGGAAAGCAAAACTTGTAAAAATGTTTTTTTAAATAATGACATGGAGCCCTGACATTTAAAGAAGGCTGAATTAGTTATAGAAAAGGAGATTTACAAAAAAATAAATTCCCTTTATTCCGCTTACACAATTAAATTTCCATTGCTTCTCCTTGAAGCTGTAATCAGAAAACTAATTTCATGCTTCTGGAAGGTAACTATGTCTATTATCCAATCTCAGTAGCTCAAAGTGACCTCCAAAAACATATCATGTCCCATATCATCCCTTCCTGGAGGTAGCAGCATCTGCTGGATATTTCTTGTTTCCTCCTGAAGCAACTCCAAAGAAGGTGCTCCCTTATTGTCAAGAGCTACTTCTTGGCCATGGGTGACAATTAATAAGTAAGAGAGAGCTAGCCAATAAGAAGCCTGAGCCATAGGCCAAACAGTGTGTTTATTTGGTACCAAATGGCTGAGAGACCAGACGGTACAGAAACTTCCATCTACATGTGTTTGTGTGTGTGTGTGTGTGTGTGTGTGTGTGTGTGTGTGTTTTCAAAAATGGAAGAAATAGAATGGAGATTTCTTGCATGCCTGGATAATGCTGCCCCTGAAACATATAGTTATTAAGCAAAACTCAAGCTCCAGATGTGAGTTTTTATGAATTGCTGGTCATAAAGGGCCCAGAGAACCCCAAAATAATACAGACTCTTAACATTCTTTCTCTTTCCAGCACAAATAGTTGATAGCTTATTATTGAAAAAAGACACATATTTTGGTTGTAAGATGTAGAAAAGTGAATATAGTACTCATCTGGAAGTTTCATACCAGCTGGATGGCTTTCAAAATTCCAGAATGTGATATATAGACTGCTTGGCTTGGTGTGATGGTGGGACAAGAACAATCTTACCCATCTGTAAACCATACTATCTATAGTAACAAAATAGCATGTAAGATGTCCTCACTAAAGAAATAGTAGCACAGTTGTTATGGGGATAATTCCCTGCTTTCTAACTGGTTTGAGGCTTTTTCACAAGAGCAAATTCATGCCTTATTGCATAAATCCAGCTAAAGCATACTGAGGAATTCTTAGACCTGACAAGCAAACTGACTACTGTTTTAAATAAACTGCCATGGCTCAAAGCTCCTTTCTAAATGTTTATGTTTATATACTAAAAGGCAAATGCTATTCCCAATCTTAAGCTTTTCTTTACAATGGACAACATTGAAAGGACACACATGAATGTTCAAGGTGCTAATACTAAGTAACAGAGTTGAGTCTTGCGCCCCAAACAACACATTTATACTACCTCCCTGAGGTAGCAGAAAATGGGGTATTAGCGTGAATGTAAGAGCCAGGAGAAAGGGAGAAGTGCTGTAAGATACCTCCTGGGCATGGCACAGACAATGATGCCATGACCTTACAGCACCTATGACTGTCTAGATTGGGACTATCAGCAGTCCCAAATCTCTTAAAGTATTGTATACGGGATAAGCAATTATTAAATTTAGTTGTGTGACCACTGAGGAGCCCACCAGTCTCCAATGAGTAGTTCCAAAATCACAGTCACACAGATGATGCTGGTTTAACTCAGTGAGTCTACACACACACACACACACACACACTCAGGAAGAGAGACAGACAGACACAGAGAAAGAATCAGAGATACAGAGATAGAAAGAAAGATATCCAGCAAAAAACCAAACATGGAAAAAAATTTTAGGCAGAAGTGGTAGTAATACAGGTGGGAGAGAGATTGTAAACAATGGGAGCTATGATAATAATCAGATTGTACTTTATATCTGTATGGAAATGACAAAGAACAAAGTCAATAAAACATACAAAGAGAGAGGGGATAACTAATACAATCCTAAATAATAAAAGAACTGTCAGAGATATTACCATCCCTGACTTCAAGTTTTATTACAAAGCTTAAGTAATAAAAAAAAGGCAGGGTATTATCACAAAAACATGTAAGTTAATCACTGGAATTGAATTGAAGACCCAGACATAATCCACAAGGCTATCGACACCTGGTCTTTGAGTCCAGAAATGCATACTGGAAAGAAGACAGCATGTTCAACAAATGCTGCTGATCAAACTGGGTGGCAGCATGCAGAAGAAGCCAAATACAGCCATACCTATCACCCTACACAAAACTCAAGTCCAAATGAATCAAAGACCTGAGCATGAAACCAGATAAACTGAACTGATAGACAAGAAAGTGGGGAATAACCTTATATTCACTGGCACAGTAATAGACTTTCTAAATGGAACACCATTAGCATAGGTGCTAAGACCAAAAATTAATACATGAGACTGCCTTATAGAATATGGCTTGTTCAAACTCCAATCTTCCATTACTAGAAGTCTTTACTGGGGTCAACCTCGTAAGTTCCATGTAGTTTCTTTAGCTTGGGAGTTTTGTTGGATTCCTAACTATGAGAATAGGTATATCTCTGACTGTTTTGCCTATTCGTGAAATCTCTGTACTCCTATTGAGTTGCCTATCCAGCCTTGATATGAAGGTATGTGCTTAGACTTATTGCATCTTGTTATGCCGTGTTTGGCCAATATCCCTGGGAAGCCTGCTCCTTTCTGAGGGGAAATTGGAGGGGCAGTGGATCTGGGGGAAAGGTGAGGTGTGGGAGAATGGGAGAGGAGAGAGAGGGGAGACTGTGGTCAAGAAAAGAGGCATTGTATAAGAAAAGAGAAAAGAAAAGAAACAGGACCTTATGAAACCTAAATGCTTCTGTCAGGCAAAGGACACTGACAATCAGACAAAGTGTCAGCCTATAGAATAGGAAAAGATTTTTTCCAACTTCACATCCAATAGAGGACTAATATCCAAAATATATAAATAACTCAAGAAACTAGATTCAACAAAAACCAAATAATACAATTTTAAAGAGGGTTACATATCTAAACAGAGAATTCTCAATATGGTAACCTCAAATGGCCGAGAAACACTCATAGAAATGATGAACATCCTTAGCCATCAGGGAAATGCAAATCAAAACTACTTTTGAGATTTCATTTTATACCTATCAGAATGGTTAAGATCAACAACAACAAAAAAAGATAGCTCATGATGACAAGGATGTGGAGTAACAGTCATATATTACTTGTGAGAGTGCAAACAAACATAGCTACTATGGAAACGTGTGTGGCAGTTCCTCAAGAAGTTGGGAATCAATTTGCATCAAGATCCAGCTGTACCAGTCTTAGGCATACAACCAAAGGATTCTTCATCCTATCACAGAGACACTTGCTCATCCATATTTATTGCTGCTCTGTTCATAATATCCAAAAATTGGAGACAACCTAGATGTCACTAAACATAAGAATGGGAAAGGAAGAAGAGAGAAAGAAAGAAAGAAAGAAAGAAAGAAAGAAAGAAAGAAAGAAAGAAGGAAGGAAGGAAGGAAGGAAGGAAGGAAAGAAAGAAAGAAAGAAAGAATGGGGTGGTGATGGTGCCTGCCTTTAATCCAGCACTCAGGAGGCAGAGGCAGGTGAATCTCTGTGAGTTCAACACCAGCCTGGTGTACAGAGAGAGTTCCACGACAGGCTCCAAAGCAATACAGAGAAACCCTGTCTCAGAAAAACAAAAATAATAATGTGGTACATTTACAAATGGACAGTTATTCAGTCACTTAAAAAATGACGTGATGAGATTTGAGGCAAATTGATGGAACTAGAAAAAATACATACAGAGTAGGAAAACCCGGATCCAGAAAGGCAAATATCATGTGTACTCATTTATATGTGGATATTAGCTGTAAAGCCAATGATCATGAAACTACCAGCCATACAACCACAGAGCGTATATACAGAGTAAGGAACTAGTAGGAACAGAGGGATCTCATTAGTAAAGGAAATAAAATAGATATAGATAGATGCAGGGAGCTGGAATGGGAGGCTCAGGTGAGCAAAGGGAGGGAAGAGGGAGTTGTGGGAAGAAATGCAGGCCGATATAGATAGATGCAGGGAGCTGGAATGGGAGGCTCAGGTGAGCAAAGGGAGTTGTGGGAAGAAATG